GTTATAAGGATAATGCTGATGGGCTGTGGAGCCTGGGCTCCAGTCACTGTCGGTTCTCCAAAAGTTCTACTTTGGGTGAGTCACAGCAACCCTGTGTATGCCTCCTTACCTCATACCAGAGGCGCCACCCAAAGTCTTCAAGAGAATGGCATTAGCCAGCCTAAGTAAAGAAGTACTCGCAGAAAGCCTGCTTCAAAATGCCTTCTAGATAAATGGCAACTGGAGTGAATTTTAATTTTGTTATCCTTTTCTCTAGTGAAACCACCGATCCTCAAGGCTAGAATGCTGTGTGCACTCATACACAGCTGATGCCGCAACAGTTCTCTTGACGACTTGTATCAGAGGCAATATAAGATGCTCTTTGGAAAGTGTAGTCATAAATGCCAAAGGTTGAAGTGGACGTTGCCATTATTGCTGTCTCCATACTAGCATCTGTCTGCCTGAGCCCTTGGTAGTCACTTCCACCCTACCTGTACATGTGCCATATTACTGGAGTAGTGATGTTCACTTTGGTATTGCGAAAAGTAGTGATCTGGCCTGTGTCTAATAATATGATACTAAGCACTGCTATAATCTCTCTAAGCTTTAAAGTTTTCATCTGTATTATGAGGGTATTTCTGCTTACCTTAACTTCTTGATCTAACAAAATCTCATTTTTGTCATTCTGGACCTCAGAATCCCAGAGTAGGGCCAGGAATTTTTGTACCATCTAACACTGCCTCTACCTGTTGTAAGTATGCCATTCTGCTCAATTAAGGTGGCCTACAGCTTCCAATTGAGTGCCAGTCCTGTGTTCAGCTGACTTCTTCAATGGTTCTGATTTTAGGAAGTCCTTCCTTGTGTTTGGCTGAAATATGAATCTTCTGAACTGTATCTGTTGTCGTCTATTTGACTTCTGAAACAAAGAGTAAATTTAATTACCTCAAGAGGAAAAGACTTGTCAGTTATTGAGTTATCTGCTCAATTCCTCCTTTGGGGTTCTGAACTGGACTGGGTGATGAGACTGGGCATTGTATCAGGTGTTTCTGGTATCTTCAGAAGTCCTGTGGTGTCAGAGATAGGACTTTCCTTCGGGGTAGGTGTGTTAGTAATATTTGCTGCCCATAGACAGAAGGACTGTGCATGGATCCTGGAGTCATGATTAGAAAAAACTATTTTTTAAAAGTGCAATTATTTTACTTGGAAATGTTGTCAAATTATTTATCCTTAAAATAATTGTTATTCTGAAGAATAAAACATAAAAGTTGATTAAAAAGATGCCTTAAAAACTTCTGAAAGAGTAAGACATTGGTAACTGTAAGTGATTAAATCCACACTTATACTAGGAAGTTGACTGTGTTCCCATTTGATTACATGTTTATGTGTGCTTGTTGAGATTGTGCAACATATGTTAAGTACTGTATGGTTTTATTTGTCTCGAAATTTCTTATTATTATTGCCATGGAAATAGCAATTTGTGGAATGAATACACTTGATTTACTTAATGAACTCCCACATTCTCTAATTTGGAACCTTTGTCAGATCATCGGGGGTCTTCTTTCTGAGAATTGTAAATATTAGAGAAGGTAGTACTCCTTGATTCTCACAGCAAGACTATGCAATCTTTAACTGCTGGACAAATCTCTGCATCCATTTTTTTTTCTTTTTATTTCAACAGTGTTATTAGAAGATCTGGATCAAATCCTGATGCAAATTAAACAACTTTGAGATTTTTGTCTCCAGAAATAATGGCCCTTATCAAGAAATCAAATAGTAACAAAGAATGGGAAGCCAGCGAGAAAGAGGAGCCCTTTTGGATTGTTGGTGGCCTGTACACTGGTGCAACCACTGTGGAAATCAGTATGGAGATTCCTCCAAAGCATACAAAGCTAAATAAAGCAAAAGCAGAAACAATTTTTTTTTTAAAAAAAGCAGCAACAATAAGAACAAATGAGGAAAGAAAGAAGAGTGTATTGATTATTGCTTATAAGAGAACTGATTTAATGACAGACAAAGAAATTCTTAAGAGTAGTCTACAACATTTGACCACAGAGTCAAATCTTGAAGAATTCAAGAAATCTCTCTGAGTTAGAGATCTGGAGAATCCAGCTCAGAACCTGGATCCTACAGCAATGTCCCAAACGAATCTGTATCAGGAGGCCAAGGAGTCTGGGATGGAAGACTGAGGGTCTGCACGGGAGGCCCAAGGCTGGTGCTGGAGGCTGAAGATTCTGCATGGGCAGGTGAAGGATGGTGCTAGAGTCAGTGTCTGTGTCCAAAACCAGAGATGACCACCAGGACAGAAGAGAACACCAGAACGTCCCTGCAGAGAAGAGCAGCTATTGCTGTGAAGACAAAAAGGGAGGCTCATCTGGAGAACATCTGGAGATTCTGGGAAGAAAAACAGCCAGAAGGAAAGTCAGCATCCAAGGAAGCTCTCCAAAGGAAATCAGCATTGCATCCTTCCCCTGGTCACCTTTTATGCCTTTCAGACAACAGTCCTCCTCAAGTGGGCCTCCCATGCCTGGACCACACTCACTTAGGTCAGCTGGGCACTCCCACTCAGCCTGATATCAGTTTCTTAGCCACAACAGGCAGGAGGGTGGGGAGAAGAAGGGCACTCAAAAAGAATTAAGGTGTGCTGTACATGTAGAAATCTTCCACAATGGATGTGACCTTTATGTACTTCAAACATGCACTGATTAGAAAAAAACTAGAAACTCCTTTTGACCAGCCAGCTATTCTTCCATGGATCTTCCTGAAAGAGTTAATGATACCCTATTACAGTGACCCAGGCACATCCATGTTTATAGCAGCACAGTCCACATTAGGTAAATCATGAAAGCAGGCAGGACGCCCATCATCGGATGAATGGATAAAGAAAATTTCGTGCTTACACACAATGGAGTAGTTCTGCCATAAAAAAGGAAAAACTTGAATCATTTGCAGGAGAGGGTTGTAGTTTGAGATCACAGTACTAAGTGAAATAAATCAGACACATGGCTTGCTTGAATATAACATGATTCCTCTTATATAAGAAAGCAAAATGTCAATGAAGATAAAAATAAAAGATGCTATGAGAAGTAAGGAGATAGATTTTGTTCAACGAGAAGAGGATGGAGAGATGGAAAGAGTGGAGGGAGGGTAGAGAAGGGGGACCAAAAAGCATTGAGGTGTGCTGAAAGTCAAAGAACACCAACTGTATCTTGACTTGATTTGGTCTGGAGCCCCCTTATTTATTAGTGCAGACTGTGGCTACACGGAAGCTGCAGTTTCATACAACCACATCGTTATATAGGGTCATTTCTAAGCACAACAGTGTCCCTACTCTTCTGCAAAAATATCCAATCACCAGGCCAGAAGGATAAGAATCCACAAGGCTTTACTCACTCCCCAGTGGATGATTCAGGTGAATTGTATGGAAGGGTCATTACACAAACAAAATAAAATATTTCTAAGTAGCAAATTTGGGTTGAAACACTTCTTTACCTAGCCCCTGTAATATTTTTAAGGGGTCCTAGTATCTTTAGTTAGCAAGCTGTACTATAAAAACCCTTTCATCTTTGTTGATTATAAAAATCATACAACTGTAAAGAAGTAGCTTCATAAAACTATAGAAAGGCTGCTGGAAGGGATTTCTTCAGTACATAAATGATTCTGTTTTACAGAGATCTTCCGCAGCTCCCTGAAAGCACAGCTGCTAATAGATGCAGCTGCCTTCTCCATTTTGAGCCTGTGCTACTTGTGTGGATTACTAAAAACGTATGCTACCTCCATAAGGAGTGGATAACTAGATGCAGCAGCACAGGGTTGAGCATTGCATCAAAAGAAATGAGGGCAGAAACCTAAGTCTATCTCAGTCCTAAAAGGCAATCCACAAGGCTAAGCCCAGACGCAAGGATCCCTTCAACTGGGATGAATCCCCAGCCTCAGAAGTGCTAGGATGGGTGCGTCTGCAGAAGAGAGATGTTTTCTTATTTTATTTTGCTTTGCTTTGAAGAGTAAAAACAAAAGCAAAACAAACAGCAGAAGCAAAGACAGAAATAAGACAACACAGAGCAGCACATATGTTACAGAATTTCAAAATGCAAACAGCTAATTAACAATGGTTGTATTATCCACTTTTGAGTGAGATCTATTGCTCAGATTAACAGAAACAGGTATGCAAGGTTGGACAAACAATTCATTATTAGTGTTTGTTTTTTTTTCCTTGTCTTTTATGTTTTAATTTATTTTAGAAAGAGTATAATAATTGATCAGAAGTATTCAACCATGAGTTTTATAGTACACATTGCTGTCCTGTGTGTAGTTGCTCAGATCACAGATATCAGCATATAGAGTTAGTCAAGGTGAAAATTCTAAACATTAACTTCTATTTTCAAAAAGCTGTTGGAAATTATAAGTAAAATCATCCCAGCCATCCTGTGTATACACTTGCATGATTTCCTCCTTATTTTTTTTCCTTTCTCTCATCTTTGTTGTTTAATCCTTAATTTCAGTTTCTTTTCATTTTACTATATTTATTATACCTTTCAAGTTTTGTTTATTCTTTCAGGTTCTTACATTAAAAGGACAATACAGTATTTACACATGTGGGTCTGATTTATTTCACTTTGAGTATAGCCTCTAGCTGCATCCATTTACTAATAAGGGCTTCAAGTTTGTCTTTCATTATAGCTTAGTAGTTCTCCATTGTATAAAAATACCACAACTTATTCATCCATTTCTCAAGTGATGGATATTTTGATTGTTTCAAAGATTTGGCTATAATAAATTGTTCCACTATAAACATGGGTGTACATGTATCACCACAGTATGAAGTTTTCAGTTCATTTTGGAAAATACCTCAAAGGGGAATAAATAGCTGGCTTGAATGGGACTTCTATTCCTAGTATTTTGAGGAGTTTCCACACTGATTTCCATACTGGTTGCACCAGTCTACATTCCTACCAACAGTGGAGAAGGGTTCCTTTTCCCCCACAGCCTCAGCATTTGTTATCAGTTTATTTCTTTTTTCTTTTTTGGGGAAAGCATGAACACAGTTCCCCACTACCACAAATTATTCAGTTGAGTTCCCCACATTTGAGGAAATCGCGGGGGTCAGCACATCCAGAGCACAATGGGTGAGACTCACCCTGGAAAAAAGCACCTTCATGGTCATGGTATCTCCCCTTCCAGGTAAGTGTGGTATTGTTTCTCTAATTTTTCTCAGTGAGTTTGTTATTTGTGTAGAATGGTATTGATTTTTGGGTTTTGATTTTGTGTCCTGTTATGCTACTGGGTTTGCTCATTAATTCTGGAAGATTCTTGGTGGAGTTTTTTGCGTCTTCCAAGTAGAGTAACATGTTATCTGCAAATAAAGACAGTTTAACTTCTTTATCTTTTCTTATTCCTTTTACTTCTCTCTTTGTCTAATTGCTCTAGTTCATGATTCCAGAACTATTTTGAATACGAGTGGTGATAGTGGACATCCATGTCTTGTTCCTGACTTGAGAATAAAAACTTTTAGTTTTTCTCCATTTAGAATTACATTGGCTGTTGGATTATCACAGATGGCTTTTATCAGTTGAGGTATAGGCTGTCTATACTAATTTTCTATAGGGATTTGATCATGAATGAGTGTTGGACTTTGTTAAAAGCCTTTTTTTTTTCATCTATTGAGATTATCATGTGGTTTTTGGTTAGGAGAGATTGCAGGGATGTTTTCAACAGGAGGTTGTCCAAACATTCCTTATACCAGAAGTTTCTGTTTATGCAGAATAGAAATTGTGTTAATGTTCTTCATGTGTGTAGTAACAAAGTTGAGAAGTAACCTAACAAATGAATACCTAGCTATAATTATGAGAGTACCCGCATTTAGTGGGCAGATGATCCTGCTGGTGATTATGATAAATCACAGGGACTGAGTTGTTTTATTCCTTTTCCCAAGGTAAAACTTGATAACCAGGAAAGCCAAACATTTGGCCTGCAAAGTTTACTCAAAACACCAAAAGAAATGATAGACAATAATGTTCTTGTGATAAATCTTGCGGGGAGGAGAAGAAAAGCGCTCTAGACAAATTAATTTATACATCAGATATCTCAAAATCAAAAATTATAGATACACTGTGTCTAAATGTTTTTATCCACTTAAATAAACATCATTTTCATTTCAAGAGAAAGGCATCCTACTTATATAAGGAAATGTTCATAAGACTACCAGTGAATTGCTCATCATAAACCATAAAGGCTGAGAATGTGATATATACTGATCTGAAAGAAATAAATTGCCTAAAAAAAGGAGGGCCAGGGAGATGGCTCAATGGAATAAGTGCTTCTCTGGCAAGCAAAAGGGTCTGAGTTCAATCCTCAGTTCTGCCAAAAAA